ATCCCAACAGCATGGTGGGGAAACAGCAGGAGGCCTGAGCACTGCCAGGTTCTGAGTGCCCAGCCTAGCCTCGGCCTCTCTCTTTGGTGACAGTGGCAAGTTGGTGGCTGGCAGTGATGGGCATCCCTTCTCTTTGGGGGTGCAGAGCAGTCACAACCACAGGTCGTGGGACAGAGACCTCCCCAGACGTTACTCCTACCTGGCTCATCTGGTGGACCGGGACCAGCAAGCCAGGTGACCTCTGACCAAGTCACAATCACACAGAGGGGCTGTCACTGCCCCCGCGTGGGAGGAAGTGGGCATTACACCTTCACAGCTTTGGATACAGAATACTCCCTCTGTGGGGTGTGGGTGCCCCACCCTCCGGGGTTAGAGGGTTCCCTCAGGGAGCCTGGAGGAGAGTCCCGGGGGTTGGGATCAGGGTCAGAACTGGGTCACGGCTATTTAGTAATATCTTCTGAAAGTCTCAGCCTGGGAGGGCTGGGCTGCAGGGCGGGGGAGACTGTCAGTCTGGGACAGAGGAGATGGCAGGCATTGTTTGGTTTTTTGTTGTTGCTGCTGACTTGTAGGAGTTTATATATTCCGGATATTAACCCCTTATCAGTTAGGCACTTTGCAAGTATTTTCTCCCATTCTGTAGGTTGTCTTTTCACTGTCTTGACAGTGTCCTTTGACACACAAGTTTTTAATTCTGATGAAGTCAGATGTATCTAATTTTGCTTTTGTTGCCTGTGCTTTTGATGTCATATCTAAGAAATCGTTGTCAAATCTACTGTCAGGCAGCTTTTCCCCTATGTTTTCTCCTAAGAGTTTTATAGTTATAGCTCTTAGGTTTAGGTCTAGGTCTCTGATCCATTTTGAGCTAGTTTTTCTATATGGTGTGACGTAAGAGTCCAACTTCATTCTCTTCCATGTGAATCTTATTCCTTTGTTGAAACCAGCCCCTGGATCAGCGGCACCTGCTCACAACCTGTGTGTGCTGAGCCCAGCCCCAAGAAGGCCCAAGCAAGGGCAACCAGGGGAGCTGGAGGGCCTGCCCCTACTCCAGTCAGCTCCCACTACCAATGGATGGGGTCAAGAGTGGGCACATGACCAGGCACAATCAGCCAGAATCCTTCCCCAGGATTTTATATTCACTGTTTCTGCACAAACTCTTCACCCTCTAAGCCTGTTTATCCTTTGCACCTAGGGAGCTGGACCCAGCCAAGTGTGCTCTCCTCTGAGAATGTATGTGCCAATGTGCAGGCTACTTAAGGCAGCCATCTGGCTGCAGGCACCAGATTTGAGGAGGCCTCCTGCCCCTCCCCCTGCCTTCCTGTAACCCATCCTTCAGCTCAGAACCCCCTCCTCCCTCCCGTCGATCCCAACACTCCTCCCAGTATGAGGGTCTTTGGGCCTCATACTCCTTTCCACCAGGATGAGAGCTCTTTGTGCTCACTGGTACCCAGTAACCAAGGCTGAGGGCTGGGGCCTCCTCCATCCCCTCACCGCACACAGACAGGCCTTGTCTTGCTTCTCCTGCTCCACAGCCTTCTAATGGCTCCCCATGGCCCACAGGACCAGGACCAGGACCAGGCCCTGGCCCTGTGGTGCAGCATTCCAGGCCTTTCAGAACCACACACCACATCCAGTCTGCCTCCCCAAACTACACCCTTCATTACCCCTCCAAGCCACCCCCACCTGGCCAGCTCCACCCTCTCTCTGCCCATGGCTGGTGCTGTGTCCACACATACTCCTGGTTCTCCTCACTTTCTTCCAGCAATGGCCACCACCTTTACTGGCCACGGCTATTTGCTGGTTCCTTCCCCCCACTACCCTGTGCAAACCTCCTGACATCCTCAAGAGAAAGAAAGTGCTGGAACCTGAGGCCCTTTCTCCTCACCAGGAAGCCCAATGGCCATGTGCCCCAGGTCAGGCTCACCTGGTGCCTGTTAAAGAGGCAGATTCCCAGGACTACTTCAGAGCTGGGGATCCAGAGAATGGGTGTCTCAGTCAAGCTCCTGATGACCTCGGCCCTGTGGGGGTACAGTCCCCAGGCCAGGTCCACACTGGGCCACCACAGGACCCAGGGGCAAGCAGCCCCTCGGCCATCAGTCTGTGAGAGAACTGCAACGGCCGCCTTCTGCTCAAGGGGTTCAGACCCTCTGAGGTCCCGGCCACACCCTCTCTCTGGGCTGCTACTGAGGGCAGACCCCCTCCCCAGCCCAGCAGAGAACCACAAGACCCTGTCTCAGGGCTTGTAGCCATCCTCATTTTACTCCTCCAGCATAAGAGTGACGGGGAACATGTGGAATCCAGCCACTGAGAGCGCTGGGCCAGACGTGGGGGATGGGCCAAGGGACCCTGGTCCCTGCCCTAGGAACCAACAGCGTCAGCACACTGCCAGCTGGGGAGCTCCGGGAGGAGGGACGGGTGAGTGAATGAATGAAAGCAAGTCGTTGCCGGCGGTCCAGCGGGCACACTCTGTCCTCGGCAGAGCTCTCCACCCCCACTCCTGTTCTCCAGTCTGTCCCGGGTCCCGCGTCCCTAGGGGCTGACTCCGGGTGGGAGGCTCAGAACACCTGCTATCGCCTGATCCCAAAGCGCCCAACAAGCGGAGCGGGCGCGGGCCCGGTGCCCGCTCCTCATCTGTTTTGTTTTCTGGGTTTTTCGTTGTTGTTTTGGCTACTGGCCAGCATGGGGACGGAACCGGACCCTGGTATTGTCAGCATCGCGCTCTACCCACTAAGCTAACCGGCCACGCACACTCTCTGTTGTCTTGGCTGGCTGGTACATGCCCATCTGTGAAATGGGCTGCGAGGCCAGCTCCCAGGGCGCGGGGTCGCGGGGACTGGGCGGACCGTGTCCCCGAGGGGCCAGGATAGGTTCGTGGAGGGGCATCCCCCGCGTTCGTGGCTGAGCCGCCGGGGCTCGGGCTGGACTCGAGGGTAGACTCCAGACCTGGACCATGGGAGCCGGCGCGACGCCCCTCCCCCACCGGCCCACCGCCGCCCCTCCCCCGAAGGCTCGCTGCCTCTGCTCCCCTCCCCCAGCCGGGCCCGCCCCCAGGTTAGGGAGCGTCCGCACTTCGCCTCCCGTCGGTCGTGCGCGCCTCCGGCCTTTTGTACGGTGTCAGCTCATTGGGCGGATTCGAGCGACGCCCCGCCCACGGCCCCGAACCGGCCAATGGCAAGGGGTTTCACAGCACGCTGTGCTCGCGGCCTCGTCACCGTCCTGCGACGCTGCGGGGGATACTTAGGCCTCAGCGGTCTTTGCCCCCCGGGCCTCGGGCCCTGACCCCGAGGAGATCCCCGGGACCCGTGCCCAGACAGGTGCCCGTCACGCATCCGGGGCGCACTTGGAGATCTCGGCCCCCTTTCTCACCCCACCGCTCGCCGGCATGTCCTCGAGTGCACACGCGCGCCCCGGAGCGGAGTTTGCAGACGCTCCCTCCCATCGGGGACGCGGCTCCTTTAAGGACGCAGGTGGCCGGAGCGCCGCCTGACTGGAAAGTCGCCCCCAAGCCGGGCTCCTGGGCCGGGCCCGGAGAGCGGGCGGG